GTGTGACGTGACAATGACTATATAAACTGTGTACTGCCTTTATTCTGTCTGAGAGGAAGAAACAGAGGAAACCAGTGGAACTTGAGAGAAACTTAAATAAACTTCCAGAGTTTGGCACACCACGATCCGTCTCTGTCTGCCTAAATCCTAACAGATTGAATCGTGCGGTAAATCAAAAAACAAAATTAAATAACAGGTGAAATTTGACTGAAGATCAACAAGCTCAAGGTCCTATGAACTCCAAATCATTTGCCAGGCCTATAAATCTCTTTACTGCCTATTTGGAGCTATAACTACCTCAACCCGTGACCTCTCCTTGCCAGTCAGCTGCGAAGCAAAAACGTCATCTTACTTTGTGCTTCCTCTAATCGAGAGCGAAAGCAACAGATTGGCCGAGAAACTCAAAAAGACAAAGTGGAAAAGGCAGGAATGAGTAATGGCTGTCGTGCTGTTCGCCCCCAGTATAAGGTGGTGGCTGCTGTTTTACTGGTCCAGACTGGGCTGGCACTGTCACCCAGCATTAGCATGGAGCAAGAAAGTACAAGAAACTGTTTTTTTATTTATTTTTTTGCATAGTTGAAAGAAAGAACCATGTGAGTCACTATTTGAGTCTTTGGGCTGAGCGCTGAGTTTTGGTTTTTCACTTTTCTGGATGAAAGATAATGCATTGGATTCTAATGTTGCACCGTTTTGGACACTCAAAGACGCTTCACGAGTCACTATTCTTTCACTCCATACAAGGTGGTAATAAACTATTCCTGGAGCCACAGCTGCCCTGGAGCACACTGACAGAAGTGAGGACACCAGACTCATTCTAGACAAACTAGTGGAAGTGTCTTGCCTAACAGTGAATTTACACTGTAGGCGTTAACAGCGCGTATGCGTTGACTGTGCGCACGTGCGTGTAACATTATTTGGGTGTATCTATACTGGCCGTGCGCGCAAGTTTGCAAATTCTGATGCAGTCCCTGTGTAGTCTATGGAGAAGTGTAGAGGACAGTACGGGCCAGAGGACTGATGTAGAGCAACACAAATGTACATGCATGTGTTTGTCCTCATGGTCTCTGTGCGCTGGTCTGGCCGGACGCTAGACTTTATGAAAGAAAAAAAAACAATGTCCAGAATCACTGTAAAGCCTAGTGTATACTTACGTTAGCGGTTGCGGTGGACCTACGTAAGCACAATTGATGTTATACTGGCGCGTTCCCCTTACGGAGTTTTGAGGAGAATGTTGTAATCCCACAACAAACCACATGAGGGCGATCACACAGGAGCAGTCCCATTTACGCTGCTACTTTGTCCTCTTCAGAACAACAATAGCAAACAAAGCTGTTTGAGCTCATTACACATGTTTCTACTGCAGGTTTATGTAATAGTTTTATGGATTCATTATTTTATAAGTCATTTCAACTGTGATGCTGTGAATAAAGACAGTTCTTGTTGGAAACATAGTTATTATTAAATAGTTTTCAGCACAAACAGCAAAACAATAATAGTGGTAAATATCTGAGACAAACATGAACGATTTACGAGTGCAGGAGGAAAGCAACAAACGCAGCTACGATTCAAACAAGACAGGAACAGTGCAAAACAAACGACTGCACAGTTTATAAGTTATATATATGTTAGATGTAAGTTATATATATGTTAGATAGTCCACAGTCTCCTGTATATCAGGCTCTGAACCCAAACTGCTTTTCCTTCGAAGCACAAAGCTCTCTGCTCCATAGTGCCTCGTCCATTGTCCCTGCTGCAGCCGCTTCATGCTTCCTTCCAATACACACACACGGACCAATCACAGCGGAGCTTCCTTGCAGCGACCCTTACGTAGTAATTTTGATGCTGCAGGGCAGGCAACGTAAGGGCCTTGCGGTGACCAACGCGTTGCGCAAGTGACGTCACGTCACCTCCGTAAGCTCCGCGCGAGTATACACTAGGCTTAAAACCTGCTGCTTCTCCTGCAAATGTTTAGATACAAGTGCTGTGTGTGCGTAGATGCGATCTAAATCTAAGGGCTGCTAGAAAAGTCATGTTTCACATGTGTTTTCAATGGGAGACGCGTTGCTGCGCGCACAAAATTAGAAATCCATCCTAAATTAGGCGCAGCCTCGCGTCATATGTCCTTCATACGCGCATATGACATTAGAAATGTAAATATCATCATAGGTTAACATGGAAAAAAATTATGCGCGATTCTCTGTTCTGTGTTGGCGAATTCAACGGTTGTGTAAAGTCCTCCGAGATAACTACTGTTTATGCAAGGATAAATTGACTTGAATTGAATTAAGGACACTTAAGACATTTTGGCACTTTACAGCCGCAGCATTTCCACTGTGGCACCTGGTGTTCCCAGAGGTCTCCCATCACAGTACTAACCAGACCCTGAACTGGGATGGGAGAGAAAGAGAGAGAGAGGGGGTAGGAGTGGAGAGAGAGGAGAAAGAGAGGACAAAGAGGAGAGTCTATATTCTACTTACTGACATTATTTCAAGGTCTAAAATATGTGATTGGTATAGTCTATTTAGCAATGCCATGGTACCCTCAATATTTGTATGTTATTTTCCTCATTTATAGAAACATGAACATATATATAAATATAAAAGAGAGACTATTTGTACCACGTTGTGCTTGGCGGCAGGTGGCGGTGCTTCAGATGCAGTGAGTGTGTGGTGAATGAGGCGACCACTGAAGAGTGACGACCGTATTGTACTGGTATAAAATCAGAAGTGCAGCTCGCTCCCACAGGCCTCGCTGGGCTAATGGACGGAGCTCCTGCCGCGCTATAAACACCAGCACGGGGATATCTTAACGACCAAAAACTTCCCAAGGTCACAGACAAGTTACAAAATATAGTGTGTGAGAAGTTAGAGCTCAAAACGAATCAATCGCAAGGACCAATAGTTGTGATTAATTTTCAATCTGATAACTGAATCTATACGTGACATTTTTTACCAAAAACACCAACATTTCACCAAAATGTTTTTTAAATCTTTTATGGAATTCATAGGTTTTGTCAGCAGTGGATAATTCTTTAGTTGAATCCTATTTTTGATTTACCGTCGTTGAAAATTTACAGTCCAAATATCCCAGGAGGTTCACGTACCCCAGGTTGGTACTCACACATCCAAAATAACGTTTAATTTGCCTTTTGCAGTAAAACCACATTGGAATACATTTCCAAAAGTCCCCAATGTGCACCAGACCAGAAAAAGTGTAGGAATAAAACAAGCTGAAAGTACAAGTACGGAAGTCTGCAAACATTTTTCTTTTAACACAGGGGTGTCCAAACCTTTTAGTAAGAGGTCCACTTCAGTTGCCCCCTGGACCAGACTTGACCAGGAGGGCAACTAAAGTGGACCAAACTTGTCCAGGGGGCGACTTCATGCTGTACTTTGTAAGATTTAACTGGATATGGTTTGTTCTGGGCTTTAACATGGTTTAAAATATGTTCCTTTTAATTCACACCGTTACATTAGAGCAATACATAGACATTGTTGAAAAACAGTGAAAAGTCAATGTTCACTGTTTAATGTAGAATTAAGGCTTGGTAGTACGCCAAGTATGATTTGGCTACAAATTTTATGCTCGGGTTCCAGTTTTTGGGGCCATACACCAGGTCCGCTCTGGGGGTTCGGTCTCTGGGTCCTCTCTCATGTTTTGTTGAAATATGTATATAATATATATATATAATATGTATATAATAGTATCCTCTAACACAGTGGTTCCCAAAGTGGGGGTCCCGACCGCCCGGGGGGTCGCGGGAACCCCTGGGGAGGGTTGCAAGATGATTTCCAAAAAAAAAAATTATATATATATATATAGCCCTTAAATATTTATTTTGCATTTGATTTGATTCAAAAGGACTACTTGTTAAATTGTGTTTGGAGAACATAATATATTTTAATTACGTTTGTAATTTTGTCCCAGTCATTGACAGCGTCAATCAAAAGTCAGGCAGCTTACATCATGAGCAGCGACAAAGCGTGTCCCGCTGTTGTTTGCTAAAACTAAACGGGTTTGGAGGCTACAAACAATTCATAGAAAAGTCACATGTGTCAGAGGTGAGGCCGATGGTGCGAAGAGATGGAGAGAGGGCAGCGGAGGGAGAGAGGACAGCGGTAGGACAGCCGGGCCTCTTTACGCTGTAAAGAGGCCCGGCTTTTCGGAGTCAAATGTAAAGAGGTCCGCATGTGGCCGGTTTATGCTGTTATTTACTAACAGTAACTTTGGAAAGTGAAGCCGCGGGGATGAACCGCATAAAGAAACAGCAGAAAGCGGCCGCCCACTTATAATGTGCAAACTTCTTTACCGCTGACTTCGAAAAGCCGGGCCACTTTACCGTGGTCGGAGAACAGTGAGGGCGAGCCGCAAGAAATGCGCTCCACTTCTGCTAAGGAGAGAGACCTCCACCTCTACTACTCTACGAAGGAGAGAGACCTCCACCTCTGCTAAGGGGGCAGCCCACCAAGCCCATCACTGTGTCACTACGTGAGTAAAAATACGCAAGCCTCCTTTTTTGGGCTGGACAGTGCAGCTCAGTAGTGGCGCGAGTCTATATAAAGCCTTACTCCGAATCAAGGAAAGACATGCTTATTTCATGTGACTGGAAGAGCTTTTGGGGGGGGGGGGTCGCGGGGGAGCAGCGTATTTATGATGGGGGTTGCGGGCTAAAAACTTTGAGAACCCCTGTTCTAACAGAGCAGACTGTGTAGGAACTTAAATATCGTCTTTGTGATCCATCATTGCCTACTGAAAAAACCTCTTTATAAAATAGTGTGTATTCGACGCCATATCAGCAAACTCCAAGCACACACTCCTCGCAGAGCTTTGGGCAATATCACAGTCCATCTCTGCATTTAACCACGGCAAGAAACCTACCTGCACTCTCCTCGTATCACGGAGCGAGGAAGACTCTGCGCCGGCAAAGCGGTAATAAAACACACACAAGCCGCACATTTTTCATACAGCTTTCCGTAATATAGATGTCACTGAGTGTATGCTCAGCAAAAAGTGCTTTTCTTTTGCCACCAAACGGAAGGAGTGAAGAGCAGGTCCTGAAGCGGGGATGAAGACCCGTGTTCTGGCAGCAGGGAGGACTGAGGGCTGAGGACTGAGGGGGACTGAGGAGGACTGAGGGAGGAGTGGGGACGACTGAGGAGGACTGAGGGAGGAGTGGGGACGACTGAGGAGGACTGAGGGAGGAGTGGGGACGACTGAAGAGGACTGAGGGAGGCTTGAGGAGGACTGAGTCTCTTGAGGAAAAGGACTGAGGAAAAAAAAACAAACTGTGGTTCCAGCTCAAGCTTTTATTTTGTTTTTCTCATCTGAAATGTCCAAATGAAAAAATAAAAAAAATCATTCAACATTAACTTGGCTCATGGTAATGTGAATGGAGACAGACAAACAACTGATAAAATAATTCCCTGTGTTTGCTGCTGGATTTGGTGTGTATCTGGCAACCTGAGTCAGGGAGAGCAGGAGAGGACTACAAAATATTAACTGTGACTGCAGTATCACTTTTGGCCAGATTTTTACATAATGCTCCTGTAAGATACTACACATCTTAAAAATAAATGACCAAATTAATAGTATCAATATAAATTTTAATGGCAAAAAATAATGCTTAATATTTCTTATTTAGCTATGTAAAAAAGTCAATACTTGGATATTCAATTATTCTCTTGGATAGACTAGTGGTCAAATAAAAAATAATTAAACTAAAATCACTCAACTAAAGCAACTAAACTAAGCTAGATCCAGGTCAGGCGTTTTCACAATAGATAATTTATGAAATAATCTAACACAATCTGACTTTGGTGGTCGGAGAAGTGTTTCACATACTTAAAACTTAAGTGTTGCTGCTAAATTAGTTAGCGAATATCTTCAGTGATAGATGGTCCTTTTCCAAACGCTAGCCGTACATTAGTCTGTGACAAGTTTATTTCAAATTTTACTTAGCAACGTTTTTTCAAGTTAACCTTGTATAACACGGAATGCTGACAAAAATATTGTCAAGATCATGTTTGAGGGCCCAAATGAACAAAAAAAGCATCTTGCAGTATGATGATCCCATTAACCTGAGCTCCGAATAAATCCATAATGAAAGTGCTAATGCTTCCAGGTTGGATGCATCAGGAGACTAATGGAGGAGGACGAATTTAGATCCAAACCAAAAGCTGCTTCAGTTGATGGACGTGCGTAGGCCTTTCCATTAGTGACGGACCACACAAGGCTTTCTGCTTTTGATATAACTTCAAAAATATCTCTAATTAGATCCAAATCAGATTCTTCAAGGAGTGTTATTTGTATGTGGTTAAGAAGTACAGATTAGGATGTCTAGTCCCCTGAAAGCACTCAAAACATCCTGAGTGAGCCTAATCCTCAGTATAGGCTGCATTCATGTGACATCACAACCTTCCAAAGAGCCTATAGTTTAACATTGTGGTGGAGGGCAGCTGAAAAATCTTATGGCGTAACTCTGGTCAGTGTCAAAAAGGCAGATTCTAGTCTTAGTTAAGAGCTCATTCCTCTGTAATCCCTGGGCCAATCCACAGGAAACAAAAGTCCTTCTTTGTCAATACATATTAACTATATTCTTACTGAGGAGTCTAAAAGCAGTGACAATATTCCAAAACACATAAATGATGTTGGCCAGTAGAAAGGACTTTCAGACAAACATTACTTTGTCCACATTTCTTCTTTTTTTTTCTTCTTTTTTTCCCCATAGACCTCGCACCTATAGACCTGCAAAATTTTAGTGCTTTGCCCCCTGCTGGGACTCTGAGGAGCACAGGGACTGACCTTATGCCCAGAGTCAGAACATTGGGAGGCAGTGTTTCAGATTATGCAGCATAACAGTCTTCCAAAAAATGTGAGACAGGCTTTTACTCTGAAAATGTTCAGATATTCTGTTTAGCTGCATACAACTGAGGGATTGTATCTTCGTTTGTTCAATGTGCTGTGATTGTTTTATTGCCTGGTGTGATTGTTTCTACCTTGTTTTCTAATGCACTGCCTTGTGTATGAACTGTGCTGTATAAGTTAACTTGCTTTGCCTTTCCATTGAGGTTTTTTTTCTTCATCAAACCTATTGAAAATAAAACATTTGGCTCTATGAACTTTTCGAAAAACACTGACATCACAAAGTTGTCAAGCTGATCTATGACATTTAAAGACAAATTGACATATCCCCATTATTGATAATAAACTAAAAAAGAGTGCCTTTACAAAGATTACAGAGTATATTCAAACTGTCCGGCACTTTTTTTGTGATTATATAAGATTTTAATGCCTGGTGTGAATGTTTCTTTTTAGTTTTTCTAAGCACTCAGAGTTGCCTTGTGTATGAACTGTGCTAAGCAAATAAACTTGCCTTGCCTGTCTACATGCACAGTGCGGAAAAGCCTCTTAAAGCTCCGGACCTGAGGACGCTTCAAGAAAAGATAAGAGAACCTTTATTCATCGCAAAGTAGGGAAATTTCAAAGGCGTCTTTGACTTTTCTTTGTGGCTCAAACTGCGTAACTGTGATTGTAAATAAAACTGCTCTCATACATACAAACACAAACAAAACCACACAACATGTTTACTTTGGGTAACTCATTTCTTCTCTGTGAAATGCCCTCTCTGGAGGTTGAGCCATCCCATGACCAGGACCAACCATGAAGCGGAATAGTTTTAGTATTGTGATAACAATGTTATATTTTTGTCTTTCACCTAACATTGCAATCTGCATTGAAATGCAAGAGACAAATAACTGGAAATAGGCACAACATTAATGACATTCAAGTGCATATATTTATGTACTTTGTTTGTTTGTATGTTTTTGTTTTTGTTGAATATTGATGTGTCTGTTTTGTTGTCTTTAATAAAGGAAAAAAATATGTTTACCACTTATCTTTTCAATATGGATATTGCAGGCACCAATATCGCAAAAACAATATTTTTTTGATATATTGTGCAGCCCTATTGCCAACTTTGGTCATTGAATGCTGCTTTCCAAAAATGGCACGTATAATTTTTTTCAACCAACATTTTATGCCTGGGTCCTATGAGGTTAACAAGCGTCTATATCAATTGAGTTATATTGGAGTATTTGGAAAGTTCTGCTTCCACTCGTGCTTTGTAAACACACTCACTCAACACCGTGTGCCTGGCTCTCCAGTGGCCCCCTGTGATCCTGTTACAGCTGTAATCTGCACACAGCCCTCTTGTGTTACCGTACCGTAAGCCACTGCTCTCTGATCACTTGATAAGACCACTTTGGAAACTAATCCTAGACTTTTTTATTTCCATTTTAGATTTTTACCTACAAAAGGTTACATTTGTCTAAAATGACACTGTCTCAACTCAATCAATTGTATGTATTTTTGCATCGCCCAAAATCACAACAGAGGAGGACTTTACAAAGCTGTTGATTCACCTACACGGTTTAGAGAATCAAACAGTTAAAACACAGAAAAAGCAATCATTAAGATTAAAATTAGCGCACAAGATAAGTGAACAATAATTCCATACTGAAAATAAAATAGAATAAAATAAATAACTTTAGCCTAATAAAGAAGCAAGTATAAAATCTCTATCTTTAGCATGATATAGAAGACGGCAGGGGACACGATTAGATTGACGGATCCGTGAGATACGTCAGACTGACCGCATCCGGCAACAACAGCTGATAAGAGACGCGTCACGCCATCACATGTCACCTCTGATGAAGGGGGAATAATTCCGGAAAATTTCTTCTTCTGGCCTTTTAGTGGGATCTTGAAACTATTAACGCTTTGGAATGTGACTAAGTTTGGAAACCAAGCTTGTAGACAGAAGGGATGGGGGAATTAATATTACACAATGGGCTCCGATTTAAGACAGTGGTTTATGCTCAAAGAATCAGAATCAGCACAAAAGGACTTTAACAAGTTAGACTTAGACAGACTTTATTGATCTACAAGGGAAATGCCATTATCACAGTAGCTTGCATAGTGTTCCACAATAAAAATAACATTAAAGTAACTAAGAAAGTAACTAAAGTAAATAAGAAAAATAAAAAGATTAGTTCGTGGATCCATTGCAACTAATCGAATAACTAATAAACTAATGTATTAATCATTTATTGAACCTCACAAAGACTTGATCATGGGTGATGAGAAGGGTCTGCGTGGGTTTCCTCCAGGCGCTCCGGTTTCCCCTGCCACAAAAACATGTACAATAGGTTAAAAAGCATCAAAATCTGGAGATGGTTCTATATTATGGGGACCACTGATAAGATAAGACACTGTTTGTTGTTTCGTAGTTGCACACATTACTGCAGAAGAAAAGGAGAAACGAGAACACTCAGATTAAGCACATATCAAACAGGATCTGTTGTTTAAGATAATAGATAAAAAGATAATACACTTTGGAGCTATAATTACACTTGGTTCAAGAATAAGTAACACTTGTGGGATCCACACTGCAGTTAGCGGCTTCATGAGGTTTCACATTTACAGATGTTTATATTGTACTTTAGCAGCAGAGAATAAGACCGGAAAAACAATAGTAACAATAGCAGCAGGTAAAGTGACTAGTGAATTATCAATGCAAATAACAAAACCATAATTATAACCTAAAAATATTAGTTTTTATGTCATTTATTGCTACAATATTTTTGTCTAAATTCCTTCCTCGTGATGCTGGTCACCTTTGATACAGTAGAAAAATCTACACCCAGAGTTGAGCAGATTTAGGATACTGGCGGGAGTGTGTGAATGTAAGTTTTTTTTGTGTTTCCAGAAAAACTTTAAAACATGATTATTTTAAGAAGCCAACAACATTACAGTGGTTGATTTGTTTTTTTTTTTTTAAACAAATCCCAATTCTCGCTCCTATAACTTTTAACAAACCCAATACATTATCAGCACTTTTTCTTCCCATTAAATCCAAGATATTTTCAGCTGTAAAAACAAGCGCACACTTTTCTCGCGCCTGGAAAATGGGCACAGTCTGTCCAACTTTTGCACCACGTGTATATCCAATTATCTCCTCATCATCGGCATGGCGACCGGCTGATGCATATAATTCACCCATTCAACGCCACTATTACCAGCAAAAGATTAATAAACACGACGGTCCAGTTCGGCGCGTCAACGGAATCTCCCTTACCCAAATTTGAAAACATCCCAGGTTTAAAAATATAGATATATATAAAGAAGCCACACAAACGTATACAGTGTGTGTCCAGACGCAGCTGAGGAGTCTGTATATTATTTCCAGCGTTAAAACAAGCCCGGCGGTGGAGGAATGCAGGACTGGGAGCGGAGCGAGGAGGAGGTAATGACCCATATGTCGGACACATGGGACAGTTGACAAAGCGCTTCATGAGCTGGGGCCGAACTGGGCACGAGCGGCAGATGTGTGCTCCATTTGCTCTGTGCTATTAGCACTGATGTGTATTGAGAAGTGAGTATTGTTTGAAAAATAGTATTTATTTCACCTAATGTAATTTTACTAATTCATCTTTTCAATTGGTTTTAGGTCTGGACTTTGGGCCATTTTAACACATGAATATTTATATTTAAATTATCCTTCATTCGTTCCACAGTGGGGAAATTTCAGTGTTGCCTCACAAGTTACAGACAGTAGGTATTAGGAGTACACAACACAGGATTAATTCATAATCACTCTATACTACACGGGTGTCCAAACGTTTTAGTAAGAGAACCACTTTCCCAGGGGTTGATAAAATGGGTTAACTGGATTAAGACTGTTCTGAGCTTTAAGATTAGGTGTGAAATGTCTATATTGGATCTTTGACAGCGCTGAAGTTGGCTGAATGACAAAGGTTTACTCACCAGATACATTAGTACAATACAATCAAAAATAAATGTCATTTTAGTCCAATAAAGTCCACGGATTCCAGATAAATTGAACTTCACAACCAGGTACAACAAGGCTATGTTGGCAGAGATGAAGTTGGCTGGATTACACTGCAAACTTCTCTTCATGATCTAAAAGACTAATTTTGGGTTAGCAAGGCAGCAGGCCATATAAAATGAATGATCAAGCCTACTATATAATATTAAAATAAAATCTCTAACTCTAGAGTAAAAAGGAGTCGTATGAAACCTCTGTCTTTAGCATAATAAGGAAAGAAGTAAAAAATCTCCAACTTTAGCATGATGAAAAAGCAAGAATTGAGTACAAAAACCCCTGACTTTAGCATAGCAAGTAAAACATACGGTATATTCTAGTGCAAGTACTACATATTTGTTTGTTTACATCGGTACATTTTAGCAGCATGAGGGTCTGGGACTCAGTAAAGCGACAGTAACACATGTGGTTCAATATCACACATTCACAAAATATTCTGTTTGAAACCATTGCATTGTATGAAAATGCTTCATGTTTACTTTGCCAGCCACTTTCATGTAGCTCCCCGAAAGATTCAAGTATTTAACACACGAACGATTCACTTTTTAGCCATTACAAATATCTATTTTAACTACACATATTTACATGAATGCAGGGAAAACTGTGCAGTATAATGGTATATGTTGGCTGTGTGTTCTGTATGATTTGCTGTAGTTTTATAGACTACAATTTTATTACAACTGCAAAAAGGAGTACTGACATAAAAGTAGCCCTCCAATCCAAAAAGGTGGGAGACCCCTGGCTTAAGGAAAATTGTCCCGATGGAAGATAAGCCTCTAGCCCAGCCTCAAGTTGGTTGCATACTCCGACAGCTTTTCCTCCAAGATTGTACTGTATTTTTCTCATTCCACCTCCCTGAATTTAAATTGAAGCAGTACTCTTTCTGCGGCAAATAGGATTAATCACATACAAGGCTTCCTCTACATGTTTAAAGATGTTTAGGATACATTTGGCCTCTGGACTCAGTTTTAGTCAATCCTCTCCTGTCTTTTGCCAAGTTTTATTCTCGGAATCTACGATCTTTCACCTCTTCTCAGCTGCCTCCGTTTTTCCCTTTTGCTGCTTTTCCATTTTTGCCAGAAATCAGAGAACCGTGATTGGTGACAGTGAGGTCAATCCAGTTATTGGAGTACACATCGCATTTTTAATTGGACTCCCAGAATTCTGAAACTAGTTGAACTCCAAGAGAGCGCTCCCAAAGTCATTTTGACGGCTCCAATAGAAATCAATAGCATTTTCATCTTTAAAGACTATATTTTAATATGATTTTAATTACAGCAGAAATTACTAAAGGCTGACTGCTGTCAAGTAAACAGTATGTCGCTATGGTAACTAGCTGAGAGTGCTCTGATCCTGTCCAGCACAATAAAAAAATAAGGGATAATTGAATAGAAGTGAACTACATAAAGAAACAGAAAAAGTTCAAAAGTTATGAAGAGCAAAAATGTACATGAGTAATTACACTTCAAAGACTAAAAGCTGTCAAATTGACTGCTCTGCTCAAACCCTTCTCTCAGTTCCGGACAACCACAACGTCACAGCACCACTCCACCATCACATTCTGTTCTGTCAAAGAAGTAATTTACACACGCTCATTTTGTGGGCCGGACGAGCTGAGATTTGGGGGAAGAATGCAAAGGCGGCTGTGGCGGTCCCTCCACGTGGCTTTTATTATCGCGCTGCCGCAGCCTGAGAGAACGTGCAAGGCGTCATTACGGAGATGCACCAAGATGTGGAATGAAGATCTTCTCATTAAATCAAGCCACTGTGGATTTATGTCTGTTTTCTGATAGTTACACAAACATAGAAAGAGAATATGTTGTATAAGCATCTTGTATAGATAGATAGACAGATACTTTATTGATCCCATAGGAGAAATTCAAGTGTCCAGTAGCAGTAGAAACACATCCATTTATACAAATAAAGGCATTATTCTAATAGTAAGTAAGTAAGTAATCTTTATTTATAAAGCTGCCTTTCACAGACCAGAGTCACAAAGCGGTTTACAATTGTTATTATTTTGGGCATTTGTCTCTCACTCCACACAGAGAGATCGGAGCGGGGTCGCCAGTACAGGAGGCGCATGCCAGTCCTATTGTACATATTTTTAGTGGTAGGGGAAACCGGAGTACCCGGAGGAAACCTACGCAGACACGGGGAGAACATGCAAACTCCACTGTAATAATAGCTAACAATAGTATGCAACGGCACCACAGGTCACAACAGCAGAGAGTAGCCTCTTGGTTTGGACCATTTCCTCTGCTCTAATCCAAGGTCAGATGCTCAATGCTTTCTTAGAAGTCTTTCCTCCAGTGGATTTTTGCCTGACCCAAATGATTCGGACCATGAATCCTCTCTGCTCTGATCTGGACCAGTGCAAAACCATGAACACTGTACTGCAGCAACATCTCAGAAAAAAAACAATTGTTAAGCACAAAACAACAACTGTTTCCGAGCTTCTTAGGACTTGCTGCTGTTTCCAGCGCATTCAGAAGTAAACAAGTAAGTAATGTTAATTTTTATAGCGCTTTTTGCAGACCAAGGTCACCCAAAGCACCTTACATTTTTGATTTTTCCATTCTCTCCACACAGTGATGACAGAAGTGAGACGTAGAACACACTGGTGCATCAAAGCCCCCAACTACATGTTAAAGGTCCCAGCACCCAGAGAAAACCTCGGCGACATCACAGGTTGTGATGTTCCTCATGGTTTACGGTCTCCAACAGGATCGCCACCAGGTGCTTGATGATGACTTGATTTTACCAGAACCATACAGAAATACCTGGGAACATCAGTGGTTGGAGTAAAACTGGAATATAAATTAAAAAAAGTTTTGCTGCTTAAGAACAAAACAAAATCAAAGGAATAAAAGATAAATAGATATACATTTCATGCTCAAGACCCTTCACGTGGCATAATTCATTCAGATTGACAGAAGAGTTCAGTGTCTGATTCACACACACACCATTCATTTGAGCCAATGTGGGTGAAGTGTCTTGCCTGAGAACACAATAACCAAAGTGTGCCCCACTGTGGCCCCTGGCGTTCACAGAGGTCTCCCATCACACAGTCTTGATCATCACAGGCATTGAATAAACAAACACGTACAGAGACAAGCAGTATTTAAAATCTAAAAAACAAGTCTTCTTTTCAATGTTTAGACGTTTAAAGACACAAAAAAAACAACAACTACGTAATACTGGATAATTTCTAATGGCCCAGCAGCCACAATCTCAAGGCCCCCTAGCGTTCCACGGCACACTGGTTAATGCTACCACCGGAAGGAAGGGAAACAATGTGATTCGTTAATGCCGTGTGTGACTGTCTCTATCTTGTTTTGTTCAGCACTTTGAGCTGCCTTGTGTATGAAATGTGCTATAAAAATAATCTTGCCTTTCATTTTTTTTTTCCAAATTTGAAATTGACCGTCATCAAACACAGACATGTGAGTGTAAAGAATATAAATCCACATTTATGAGCAATAATTTTCTTTTAAAGTCTGTTTTTGATGAGGGAACAATGTAGTAACATGCTAAAACACTCTTACAACAAGCATGTAATATAAAACATGTCACCTTTAACTTCACGTTTTTTCCACATCCCAGTTATGAACCCAATCCTGGCTCTTCTCTTCGTGTTTCCCTCTCAGACAAAACAACTGAACACTCTCAAGATTCACCTCAGAGCTCCTCTTTATCCTTTCACTTTAAATCGCCTGCCTTCAAGTTCCACTTTTATCCCAGCTTCAATAAACTATGCTATATCCTTCTTCTCTGTATCTCTGCTTTTTTCTCTTTCATCCCAGAGTCAAAATTGCTTTTCGGTCAAAACAATAAAAAACCTCCAGTGCAGAATGTAAACAAACGGGCTCTGAAAAGTTATCTGGCCCTGATACGCCGTAGAGAGAAACCCCAAATTGCTGCGAGGGCTTGAGTCTATCTATCAAATCCTCTCCAGCGACATTTGCCCAGGCCTATGATGTACGATTTGATTACTATCACGCATCTATGACATTTCGCTAAGTTGAAAATCAATGAGACTCAATAGGGAGGTTGTCTCGGGTATAAATCATCAGACCGCTGCTGCTTATCTGCGTGTCTGCGGCATCAGATGTAGAATAGAAAAGAGAGAAGATGGCGATGATGAGGAGAGATAGAAGCAGAGGAAGGCTTTTGGAAGCGAGCGTGAGGGTAATGCTTAAACAGGAGGGTGAGCGGAGATGGCAGGAGATAGGAAAGAACAAAGTGGAGGGAGTCAGAGCCGCTCCGATGTAGAGATTGGGAGAAGAAAGCAGTTTAGGGGGGAAAAGATCTGGACTGACGAGGCAAAAAAGTGACAAAAGCATGAATGCATTTAATGGAGATGCAAAGCTGCTGCTAGGGGGATAGTGGATTTTTAATGTTTGCATTTGCACACGTGTTGTACTATAACATACAAAAATCTAATAA